ATATGATCAATTACGCTTTACACGTTTTTTTTTTGTTGTTGTTGTTGTTGTTTGTTTTTTTCTCCAATCAACAATAAAGATACTATAACGCATACTTTCCGAGTGTCAGTTAGCTTATAGATTGAAAATTAATTGTGTGGAAGCTAAGTTACATTATTGTTGACGTTGCTTGGACAAGCACGAAAACTGTTTTATATGCGCGTATTTTGGTCGAATATGTTCTAGGAGTTTAAGGAACGGATACAAGGCATGTAAAATACTATAAGAGCAATATGAAAACCCCAGAGCCATAATCGTGTAAATGAATGCTTCCAGATTTCTAGGTATCACATCAAGAAGGGAAACTATTTGGTTAGCACTTGATTAGCTAGGCGTCCAAAACGTAGTTCTCAGTAAGGTGCGAAAAAAATATTGTATTTTTAAAAAGAAAATGAAATTAGTTTTATTACACACATATGTATACAATTTGTTTTTTGTTTTTTTTGGAATTAAGCACAAAGCTACACAATGGGCTATCTGTGCTCTGCCCAATACGAATATCGAAAACAGGTTTCTAGCGTTGTAACTCCGCAGACATACCGCTGTGCCACTGAAGGGCTTATATATATAATAGTGTGGCTAGTAAGTGCTAAGCTTTCAGTGAGATGCTACCGCATTTAGTGGCACGTCACTCACAGGAGTACAAATTTCCATTAATTTCTACTGTAACATGTTTGTGCTCCAACTGTTAGCTAACCAGAAAAAGGAGCTGCAAACATATTTAATCAATTATTAAAATTGCGCTGCACAGCAAGACGGCAATGTTATGAACAGTTCAGAGTGAGATGGAAAAGCTTTTGTCAGTGATATAGCACATAATGAAGGTGGAAATTTTGGAATTTTGCAGCGTACCGCAAAATGAAAACTTGCGCCAGTAATAATAACATCTGTAAACATTAAAGTGTGACTAATGTACACAAAGATGTTCTACTTCACCTGTCAGGAAACTGTCATTTTATGTTTGTAATTTGGTTGAAAGCACACCCATTTAACACTCATGAATTGTCACCAACTGAACAGCGAATTTAATCATGTCTCATTACTTCGTAGCATAGATGAGATGACTGGTAAGCTTGCTATTGTGAAAGTCTAATGCATATTTCATTTATATTATTCGTACAGTTTATTATAGGACCTAAATAGTGTTTAGTACAAAAATGTTTTTCTATTACTTTTTGTACTAAATTTGCACGTTTTGAACCCAAAACAATATAAAATCCCTTATAACATTCAAATATACTTTAATCTCCACTTTCGTCTGTAACTATAATCATGAATATTGCTTTAAAGTCTCTTGTTTGGAGAGTAATATCTCCGTGTAATTGACTCAGGTTTGCAATAATAGTCACATGTGTAATATGCGGGTTTTTAGGAATTTACGCAAAACATGTTAAATAAAACAAAATTATCTCCTGTCTCATACACGAAACGTACACGTTTTAAAGTTAATAATTTTTCATTAATATGTTCTTTTGCAAGTGAATAAAAATTGATGAGTACTTTTGTTGTTCTGAATTAGCACCACAAATTAAACATAATAATGATGTAAATATTTTATATTCAATATATCACATTTGTAGATGAAAAAAAAAATCCTTAGTCGAAGTTGTCACTAGGTTCCAAGGGCCCTGCATTGAAATATCTATTAATTATATGGTTAGAATGTCTACATCTATTTTATATTTTCCAATTTATATTGCTCAGTTTATTATGTGAGAGCTAAAAAAATAGCAATACTAAGATTTAGCTGTAAAATAAATTATCATTGACTGAACTAGCAGACTAAAACAATCAGATAATAATTCACCACTCCTAACTCAACATAACTTAGTATCAAACTCAAAAATAATCATCTTTTCTAGTCTAACTTGCGTTTTACATTACTCAATTCCGGACATTAAGCCACACCCATTATGCAAAGTCAAACCTTCTTTTGGCCAAACAATAATGCAAACGTCTAAAGTACAAATATAGTCTATAATAGTAATGATGCTAAGAATTTCTACAAGATTAATATACAGAAAGCGAATCTGCTCTAACTGAATCCTGACGTATCCAGCCACAAAGCTGTTTTAGTAAATTATATTCTATATTCCTCTACATTCCCGTTCATGAGTACAACCTTAGTTTCAGGGTCAATGTATTATCGTAAATAGTAATCTCCATGGGAAATTCGAGAAAACTGGACTTCACTTTCTTTATCATATTCAAAATACAAGTGCTGTACGAGAACTACAAATATATATAAGCAGTGAGACTTTTTTTCACAAAATGATATGTTACATTTATGCCTATTTATGTAAATAGTTTTGATTAAGTTTTATAAGAGATAATATATTAATACAAGAAACTTTTTACTCTTACTTACATTGCATTGTGTCAGGTGGCTGTTAATTCTCATATGTCTGTTATAACTCCGAAAATAATAGTTTTATGTTGTTCAAAATAATTTACATCCCCACTGCCAGTTTTCATTGCACAGTCTAAAACTGGATCCATGCAGAATTATACCGAAGCTACTATATATATATAATGAGTTTCCATTCAAATTTACTTTCAAAAATATAAATATTATACCTTCACAGAAATTACTTGCGTGGTTCATTATTACTTGTAACAAAAATGATTATAACTTTCAGGGTATAACGAAAATACGGCTCAATATCAGAACATCATTTTTACTTGCAAATGAAGACCAAGATATCTTTAGATTTAAAACATTGCATTCAGAAACTTATAAAACAATAGTCCTTGTCAAAAACAAACACATTCAGTACTGTTATTGATGTATAGAGATGTAAATAAACGCCACATATGTTGCTTGCATCTGTGAAATACATGTGCTTTGTAAACGTTATAAACCGGACAAAAACTTTCATTGTCCATTAAAATTATTTAAATATTGTTCCTGTATTTACATAGATGTTAACGTTAATAATTAAGAAATTTAAAGACAATGAAATATTCCACCACAAAAAAACTGTTTCGTATTTAAAACTATTTTCTTTAAAAAGATATTTTTAACATCACTAAATATTAATAGCCGATTTTACGAATTACGTGGCCTGAAAACGAAACCAACTGTAAATTAGACTTTTCAGGATTACACAGGCCTGCGAATTTAAGCTTCATAAAAGTTTTTTATTTTTGGTTACAAGAACGGATTTTCCATAATTCAACTATACAGATTTCGAAAATAATATTCATTTTTTTCTATCACATAAGGATTTTTTTACAAATCGGGAAGAAAAAACTCTTACTTAGATCAAATTATTATTTCGTTTACCACAATGAATATTTTTGTTATTATGTTTGTTAATAAAAATACAAAAAAACTGAAGAAAAGGGAAGAACATTGATGTCAAACGAATATGCATCCTTATTCATCCTGATTTTTTTGTGTGTGAAATCTACGTCTTTTAGTCTCAAAACTACGTGTTGTGGTCTTTCTTTTAGGTATTGCGTTATGACGTTTTGTGAAAAATCTGTACGTGATGGAGAAAAATAAAAATCATTTTCGGATTCAGCGTACAAGAATTACTGTAAAACATGTAAACATTTCAAGACAATAAAACCATCGCAGGCCTGTGTTATTAGAGCAACATAGACTACTCACAAATATTTTCAAAACACATGAAGTAATATATAATGTTCCTAAACATTTACACATACAAAATGTAACATATATTTTCCAACTTCCAGACCTCTGATCATGACGACAGTTTCAGTTTATGTTTTACTAATTCACTAAGATTCTCTCGATTCACCACGACTTTAAGAAGCATGAGGTTTGAGTACTCGTTAGAGGATAGTTTTATGGTTTGCATAGTATCTTATATGAATCCACAGGTAAGACTAAAAAAATTTTTATTACTAGAAGAACTATAATATAACAAATACTTGAACTACGCCGAGACCTAACATCTACTTTACTTGAATTTAAGCTTCTGTTTTATTCGGATGGAAACTAATGTACCAGGTTCTTTTTTAATCATGAATCAAATCAGTGACAGTAACTGAAGCCAACAACCAGTGTTTGTGTGTTCCGTAAATAAGATATACACTGTTATTTCTTTATTTTACTTTCATTAACACTACTGGTTACAATGTTTAATCTATCAAATTTTTTTACATTTTAATTTTATTTCTTCTTATTATACTTTTCATTATAGAGATGTTTTGCAATGTTAGCTTTATACACATAGGACTACAACGAATAACCTACACTGGCCGTGTTTCGTGAGGTATATTTTGGGATTAAGGCCGAAAATATCGTTAACAAAAATATATTTAATTATCTTTGCTCATTACCAGGTTGAATTTTAGTTTCGCTCTAAGTAAGCAACAAGTTTTGATAGGAAGTTAATAGTAATCTGAGAAGTAAAACATTTTTTACACCTTCTTCTTCATCACGACTGACTATGTTAATGTCTTCCTTAATCGTTTCCTCTGCCCCCCCCCCCCTATTTCAGTTTGATGCTATTTGCCGACATCCTCTCATAAATTGTATTTTAGTGGAAATATAAAATCCAAACTGTTTTGTTCAAGTTAATCAACTTAAGAGTTATTGTCAACTGCATTAAAAATAGAGGATATAAACACTAGCGTTATCGGCTATTACACATAACACTTACTTACATGTATTAAACAGCATATTTTGAAGGTCATGGCTTTAGTTAATAGTGTGTGCTTAGAATGTGACATGTCATTCAATATCTTAATAGCGATAAGAACTCTGGACAAAGGTGGATCTTGAAGGATCATTAAACTATCACTATAGTGTGTCCATTTTTACCGAAATTCAAGTTTTCATTTGTTTATTTTTTTATACACTAGTTAAACTTTTCCCGTCGTTTTGGGGTACAAATAAATGTAATTTTCGAGAACGAACACGTTTTTAACAATTACAATAACTTAAGCCAAGTTACAGTTGGTGCAAGGATATCTCTAACCAGTCTTACCTGCCCATAGTGATACCGAGAAAGGGCTGGAAGAGAGGTTCGTCTGGGTTTCCCGTGACCTACGACGTGCAGTCCGGCATAGCTGGAGGTCCGACGCCGACGAACAGCTAGAATTCTCCCATCCTGGGTGACGACAGTTGTAATAGGAGGATGCAGCGTTGTTTCGGTATGCTTGGCCAGTAAAACGCCAAACAGTCCACATACGTTGGACAAGAAAGGGATTACGTACGCAGGCAGTTCGGACAGACATGACAGAAACAAAATTCGCACGATGGTAAAGAACAAGACTACTTTAACACTCAGCCGCCCTGGAAGGTTGGCTAGGGAGGCAGCTCCTGCCACCAACGTCACGTAAATCAGAAGTTGGCTTACAGCTGTAAGACTTAAGCCTTTAGCCGAATCTGGTCCAGTGACAGGAGTTTCCGAATCAACCAGGCTATCATAGTCTTGACAAATACACTGTCCAACAATTTCACCTAGAAAGCTTGCACAAAATAAGAAATAAAAACTTGTAGCGTTGATTTTTTTCCGCGTGTACAAAGCTAACAGGTAATGCGCGCAGACTACCGAAAAAATGGGAACCGCGAACTTACAAAAACGCTGAAACAAGTTAACTACATCACAAGCTAAAACAGTGTACGCCAAACAACAACAAACTACGGCACTCGCGCCGTACACGATCGCCGCGCGCTCCGGCAACAGTTCGAGATTTGATACGCCCAACCAGCTAAGGACAATGCTATGTTTCTCTCCTTCAAGAGGCTTAATTAGCACTTGTACATAACTGTTATTGTCAGCTGACTCAGAATCCAATGAATGACTGTTTTTACGAGAGGAGTTGCGTCTAACAAGATAGCTCTGGTTGCACGAAGCCATGATCACTTACCCACTTCAGTTCATCTCCTGTGATCCGTCGGGCGACATCTGAGCGAATCGAGTGTTGTTAACAGACATGAGTTGAGGCGCAAAGCACGCTGGGAACGCAGGCTGACCTTCGCAAGTACGAGAAAAATGATATCATGGCCGGTAGTTTGAATCTGTTGACCTCGGTATGGCTGACTAGTGTAGTAATATTTTGTGTAATTGGAATTTAATAGTGTGAGCTTGATGATTGAGTGAAAGCAATATATGTGTAAATAAACTGACTTTAATAAGATTTTTTTTTCATTTAGGATAATAAGTTAGTGGTTTAATACGTAAATTTAAAACAACGAGTGACCGTTTGAAGAAAGAGAAAAAGCGTGTTTTCGTTCACACCTTATGGTATAAAATAAAACCAAAACATCTCCATCAAGAAGAGTCCTACGCAACACATACTTAAGAGAGAGAAGCGTTGTATTGATCCTTGGAGCAACGTAACCGCAGTGGATCTCAGGATTAAGCTGACAAGCACATTGGAAAATATTTGTGTGTTGGGCACATGGATTTAGTGGAGCTCAGCAAATCTGTTCTTTCAATTACATCTGAACTTCGCTTTACTTGCCTTCTTTGATTGCAAGATGACAAAACTAAATAAGTCAAAATAAGTATTAGCTGGCTTACCGCGTTTGGAGATTGAATTTGTATAGCCTCCGGCGTTGAAGGACAAAACTAATGTTTACATTAAGAGCTTTTCGCTTATATAGTCTATTTTACCAACATCGCCAGCCTAGAAAACAAATATTTCTTTTAAGCTTCAAATTTTTCTCATCTTCTGGTTCTTGGTACTGTGAATTCTTCAATTTAAACACATGCATTAATATTATTTCTATCTGAATCATCTTCGTGATCAGAAACAACACTTCCGTGATGAAAGAAACATTCTCTAGGCCAAAGAAAACTAATGAAGAAGCTACAATATAGCCTGTAAATATACTTTAATTATATAGTCGTATGGTTTTCTAGTATACATAACAAAGTAAGACAATATATATAAACACTTAGTGACAACTGTGTGATGGCTTCATGTATCTGATACATATTTTCATTACACGAGAAGGCTTGAATCAATAAACTATTTGGATAACAAAACAAGCATCCAGTTTATGCTGACCGACGCTAGTCGGTTTGTTATCATTTTGTTGGATGTAGAAGGTTATTGTTATCTTTCCTTAGATGCTACTGGTTCGTATCCCGTTATTTTAATATTAATCCATTTTCTTGTATAACCTTCGTCTGTGACATGATAGGATATTTCAGGTAAATCGGAATCACAGATTTTTGTATGTCTATTGTATTTCTAAATTACGTATATCGTAATCGTTGTATGTGCTCGTATTTGCTGGTAATAAATATTAACTAATTAGAAATAAGTCGTAATTAGGTGTTGTATAAGCTATTATAACCATGACAACAGTAAGCACATATAAGTTTACCTTGATATCGTAAACATACTTCCTTTCTGTGTAATATTAGGCTATTAACCAGAACAACGATAAGTATATATATAAATATATTAACTTACCTAGCTATCGTGGATGTACTTCCTATCCGTGGAATATTAAAAATAAATAATGTTTTTTTTTTGTTTTTTTAAGCGCAAAGCTGCACAACCTGCGCTGTGCCAACAGTAAGGATCAAGCGTTATATCCTCTCTTTCTTCCTGCTGAGCCATATAAAAGAGATTTCTTATGTGATCACACTTATACAAGTTTTTTTATTCTGAGTGTCACCATATTTATCATAACTGGCAAGAATGATTAAGTACGTAGCAGATGCTCTATGTAACCATGTGCTGGTTAACACGAATATGGTATATTAAAAGTTGATACGTTACATGATACAAGCTGCATGTCCTGTTTGAAAATAAGTAGCATCACGAAACATTAATAACAACATCAGCTGTAGAAAAGTAAGCCTAATTATAGATCTAAATTTAAATAATTTAAAATAACATGCGTTAATTAAGACAATCTGCATAACATACTAATTAGAAATATTTAATGTTATAAATCATTACACCAGAAAACTTAAAACCTGTAAAAAATATATAAGAATGCACATTGAATAATCTATAGAATTATCTCGGTGTAAACAGTACATAGTACAGCCATAAGCCCATTAACATCACATGAGGTTCAGCCATGTTTAGAAGATTTAGATTAGTCCTAAATCCAGATACTAAACGATCAATTCAAAATAATATTGATAAATCTAATTATAATAGAAGGCATTTTAAAAATTGATTTTAATGTAGCCAGTAAGATTAGCTATAGTTTATTTGTTTGTTTGTAGTTAAGCACAAAGCTACACAATGGGTTATCTGTGCTTTACCCACAACGGGCATCGAAACCCTGTTTCCAGTAAGCTATAGAAAATGACATAGGTTGTTAGTTTCGGTTTCTCAATGCAAAAATGTGGTCATCAAGAACTTACAAAAAATATTTAATATGTTAAATGGTACACATGAAAAATACAAAAAAGACTAATATTTATGTTTTTTCAAAGTGGAATGTAGCTATCACAAAATTAGAAAATACTTTATTTATTTGTGTTTTTTTCAACTAAAAAGTATGATGATCACAGGGTACAAAGAATTATTTAATTTAAACTTGTTACTTTTAAAGAAAATGGAAAATAAAAAAAATACTTAAACATTTATAGTTTTCAAGGTCAGAATGTGGTCATAAGGAAGTTACAAAAATACTTTCATATTTACATGTTTTTGTTTTCAAGGTCAAAGTATGTTCCCGAGATGTTACAAAGTTTAATTTAATAAATACTATTTTATTTTGTATTGCAATGTTTGTAAATAATATTGAAATATTTATTCCTTAATATACAAGTTCAATATTTTTTGGACGTTTCGAAACATGGAAATACCTACATAAATCTTTGTCTTGGTTAATGCTATTATGTAGATAAACCATGTGCAAATGTAGGCTTTATTTCACATATTCCGTTTCTTTATGTTTACCAGTAACTTATCAGTTAAGTTCGTATAAACAACTGACCTATCTGAATCATAAAAATACAATCAATTGATTAGCTGTAATTCGTAAATATCTCTATACAAAAAGATATGATTATATTATTCGTATATTTTTTCTTGTTCAACTCACCATTTTAAATATATAGTAATTTTAATATTTTCAAGTACGGCATTTTAAAAATGTAAGCTTAATACTATAAAAATACTATATCTAAATTTAAGTTAATTTTTAAAATGCATTTACTTGTTTTAGTCACACAAAAAATCACAAGATGGCTTCCGGTCGCACTACACCACTGATTCTGTGCCAGCAACGACATACTCGGATTCAGTATGTGTCTTCTCAATAACTGCAAATCGTATGCTGATTTTGAGCCCTATTTATACATATCTATTGGTATTTTCAATTGGCATCTCATATTGTTTTGGATCAGTAACACAATCTTAAGTAACATCAAACATAAATAGATCTGTGATTTATAAGCAGAGTGATTCTATACTATAAAATTCGTTAGATAAGAATATAAAAACGTGTTTGAAATATATTGGTGTGAAGAATAATACTGGAGAAAACATTATTTCGATAATAAACAAGTAAATAAATGAGCATTGCCTATTTGAGGTGACCAGAAAAACGTAATGAAAATGTAAACAAAAAATGAGCGACTTACTTCAAACACCATTTTAACGGACGGAAAACTAACTTTATCAGATTCAATAATGGTAGCACAAAGAAATACAAATGAAATTAGTTTTAGATGTAACATAAAAATATTTTTACTATAATATGACTCTTAATACCATTGTACGCTAAAAGCACATTTAATTTCGCCTAAACGAAAAAGGGATGAAAAATTAAAAGAACACGTTAACATTTTTCTTCGTTCAATAAGTATCTCAAACGTTTTTTTTTTCCTTTTGAGTGCAATTTGTGTTGAAGAAGTGGCACTAGTCATTAAGCTGTGAATTCGAGGGTTTATAATGCTAATATTCGGGGTTCAACACCTACGGGGGCGTAGCGAAGATATTTGCATTGTTAGCTTCGGGTTTAAAAACAAACAGTTATTGAGAAGTAAATATAAGTGATTTACCTGGAAACTGTCGAAAGGAAAATAGCCGTTATTATCTGACCATTCATAGAATGATACGAATTTCATAACGTTCACTGACCCCCAACGTAATAAAAACTTTGCTACCATCGTTTTGGTTCTGTTTTAGCAGAAAGAAGCTGGATCCAGATGTCGTCATTAAATATATCTAAAATTCATGTAAAAACGGCGAGTGACCATTTAATCATCCCAAATATTTATTCTTCAAGCAACACATTTAAAATGATATGAAATCGTCTGTCAAAATGACGAAAATGCAAACATTAAAAAAGAGGGTCTTTTTTTCCAGAACATTTAAATTGGAGTAATTCAGAAGACACGCCATTTTTCTTGACCTTAATAAAACACTAAAACTATGCGTGCAGAACTATTTCGTGTATTCTGTTATCAGTTCTAACGAAAATCGGAAACATCTTCATGTTGTATACGAGTTTGGAACCCTACATGAAACTCTTTGATTGTTTGTTTGCAATAAACTAAAACTTTATTGTTGTTGCTCAACAAGAATACCAAAATATAAATTTTACTTTTTAATTTTAATCGCTTAAAGATCTGTCTTTGTTAAAACATAATATAAAACGAAAAGCTGAAACATCTTCATGCTGTTTACGAGTTTGGAACCCTACATGGGACTCTTTGATTGTTTATTTGTAACTAAACACAAAGCTGCACAACATCTACCAGTGATCTGCCCACCACGGGTATCGAAACCCGGTTTCTAGCGTTATAATTTGTTTCTTCAAAAGACATTCTTCATACCAGATTACTTCTAGATTTCACTTGAAACAGCCCCCCAATGGCACAGCGGTATGTCTGCGGACTTAAAACGCTAGAATCCGGATTTCGATACCCGTGGTGGGCAGAGCACAGATAGCCCTTGTGTAGCTTTGTGCATAATTAAAAACAAACAAACAAACAAACACTTGAAACAAGTGGATTTACTGACATTTCTGCTTTTGAAAATAATCATAAAATCTATCACGTACGAGCTTTAATAAGCTGAAACTTTATTGTTATATCTCAACAAGAATACCAAAATATAAGTTTAATTTTTAATTTTAATCACTTAAAGATCTGTCTTTGTTAAAACGTAATATAAATATATTTTTTTAATTTTTCGTAGTACAGTAATATTAATTCAATTTTAAACTTTGATTAAAGGAGAATGTGTTATATCAAAACAGAATTAGGAATATCAAATAAAAAGATATTAATAAGCAATGATTTATAAGTATTAAATTTTATTTTCTTTGCTACTACGTTTAAACATTCTAAATACAGGCTTAACAGTGAGCTTTTTATAAGTTATTATCAAATTACGTCATCGTCTTTTTTCTTTTTTTTTTTTTAGAGGCACGTAATTTTATTTCAATGTGAAATTACTGCATGTTGAAAAACGAACTACTGGTATATTAGCACCCCGCTAGAAATCTTCATTTTTAATCTTGGCTACCTAGTTAGCTTTAATTAGATCAAATATTGTTGTCAGTCCTTCCAAATACATTGGACTCCAAGTAAGTTTTCCACGCTACAACTGTTGGGAATACTCTAGCTCTCGCGGAAACGTTTTTTCCTTTATTTTTTTTTACTTATTAACTTAATAACCGTTACCTTTACTGTGTTTTGAAAGTCTAATTTTTGAAGTATTTCTGTTGTGACATTTGAGAGAATTTTCACGCTGTTCTTGACACGTCAAGTTTTGCTCTGTGTATTAAAAATATGTATATATTATGTATATATAAATTGCTTCAAGAGCATCTGAGAAATGTAAACATAGAAAATATTTTTTAAAATAGCTTTAACAGAATCTAAGATAAAAAACATATAATGAAAATTATCTTAAAAATATGACATCTTGAATACGTATTAACGATCTATTTCACACTGATTAAGCTATGAAAATGTATTTGTTAATAACTTCACATAAAAGTCAGTGCCACAAATATCATTCGCCACTAATCAAGCTAATGAAAATATATTTGTTCATAACTTCACGAGTGTCACTAGGGCTTTTTAACAACATAAGCTATACTAGAATTTAGGTCTCTCTCAGATGATCAATTTATGTAACAAGAAAATCGGATAGGCAAATAAGTAAACTGGATAAACTACTAACAAGTGTTGTAGTTTCTACTTATTGATTAGCTACTTAGGCCATCCGTCGCCGTTCGTAATTTTGAACAGATGACAACTAGTAAGCAGAACCCTATCATCCAATATCCTCACTAAGGGATTGACTGTTACTGTTATAACGCACCCACTGTTTAAAATTCGAGGAATATTTACGGTATTCGAACCCGGATCACCATTTCTGAAATCCAAACAGCTAAGCAGCAAGTAGTGAAACAGTATGTGTTTATATTGATAAAAAATAGCTTAACTTTTAATTACAAATACCTCATTAAATTAATGGAATTATGCTGCATATAATTATAAATAATTAAATTGGATTGTGTGTCTTATTTATTTTAATGTACCTATTTATTTTTCATTAC